CCGTGTCAGGGTGGACCTGGGAACACCAGCAATAAAGGGATGCTTCCACGCTCCTCAAAATCCCCTGATCAGAGGCCTTGCTGTCGGATGTAGTTTATCGTCTTACCCAGGACGCGGATGTAAGAAGTTTATTATCGTCTTACATCCAGAACGTTTGTATTTAATGTCTTACCCAGGACGCGGATGTAGTTTATCGTCTTACCCAGAACGTGGATGTAGTTTATTATCTTACCCAGAACATGGATGTAGTTTATCGTCTTACCCAGAATGTGGATGTAGTTTATTGTCTTACCCAGGACGCGGGCGTAGTTTATCATCTTACCAAGAACCTGGATGTAGTTTATCGTCTTACCCAGAACGTGGATGTAGTTTATCATCTTACCCAGGATTCGGATGTAGTTTAACGTCATACCGCGGACGGTTCAGAGAGATGGTAAATTTAAAACAAAAACAAAAATGCATAAGCCAAAAAAAAACCAAAAAAAACACGACATTAATAATAACTTGCAACATTATCATCACCGTCAGTTTACTGACTGGATATGGTCGTAGGGTCACTGCGCAGCTACCAGCCGGACCAACTTTTGAACCAATAGCGGGAGATATATTTATTCGTGCGTAGCGTGTAAACCAGACTGAGCCCATCCTTTTTGCAGTCGACGTCCTCCAGATTGAATGTTGGCATTGCTCACAAACCCATGGCATTTGATTACATTGAGGGAATCCTTCCTCTTTGCTGTTGACTTTTGTCTAGGAAGCACTCAGCCCAACATTGCCATGTCTGAATCCACTGGCTGCATACAGAGTTATTGGGTCCCAATCAAGTGTCATAGATGGCCGTTGATTCCATAAGATTTTTTATCGACATTTAGATATGTTTTGTTTTTTAATCTACATGGGTGTTATATAGGAATGAAGTGTCGCTGCCGACGCTTGAGTTTGAACATAGATCACCAGTGAACAAACACAGGCGATCCCATTATTGAATTAAGTAGACCATGGGACCATAAAGTAGGCAGCCGCGTGATGTCCAAGTGATTGCTAATCCTATTCTATCCTCTATTTTATTCGAATCTCTGTTTCTAGTCTATCCTCTATTACTATTCGGATCGTCATTTCTGGTCTATCCTCTATTACTATAGGGTCCGCTATTATCTATTCTATTCACTATACTATTTCTCTATTCGAATCACTACACGGTGGTTACTTTCGAGCGAGTATTATCGAGCAAGTGCCATTAGTGCGAGTGATATTCGAAAGCGTCTGACACCAGTATTGTTTCACGGCGTTACTACAGTTATATCTGCGATTACAAAGTCTCTACTACAACGAGCATTACGAAAGTGACAACGAGTATTTGTTGGCATTACAAAAGTGGCAACGAGTGTTCGTTGACATCACAGAACTGGATGTTTCGCGACCATCCTAACCAGAAATGCCTGGTCGGTGTACCGGTTTAACCATTGATATTCTAAACATATTTTACATATTACCCAGAGCCCCCGTAGAATAAGCTGGCATAAATAATGACTTGACTAATCTTCAGAGTATTGTGATTGACAATAACTATTATTGAAAAGTCTGCGGATAGGCATGTAACGGATTCTGTACGTGTAGTGGAACAAACAGTTGTCGTAACAACAAAAACAACATGAAGATATCTTCACGAGTTCGACCTGCTTTTAGATTTAAAATTATTCGTCTTTAATATTTAGAGAGAATTTTATTTCAAGCATATTATCCCAAGCAAAGAAAATAAAAGCCATTAGGATGCAAGAATTTAGAGATTGAAAGACAATGAAAGAACAGGATTTAATGGGACAAAAAAAAAGGTAATTCGTATTGTATTTATATTTCTAAAGAACATAGAGGAAAGCAGGAAGCCGGAAGAGTGTTCCACACGCGAGAAGTGCGAGAGAAGAAACTATTAGCATAGAACTTACGGTAACACGTATCAATTTGAACAGTAAACTGATGAGACCTAATTTCCAACCTGTTTTTTTTTATCCCGTGACCCATGGAGTCGTAGGGGCACAATGTTCACTGCAACCGCAGTAGAAGTGGTGTTTTTTGGGCAAGATGGCCTGAGGAAGACCAACCCTCCCCACGTCGGCTTTGAATTCAGAGTTTTTCCTTCTAGACCGGTTGCCATCTAAGTCTTTTTTTACTATTTACCCATAGCTGGTGGGGAGAAGAAGAGGATTCATACCTTTCCCAAGGGTATTAGCACGTAAGTGAATGTAATGGATCCGACTGGAATTCGAACTCGGCCCTATTATTTTTCAATGCAAGCCGCTATACATTATTCCACTGTGCCGTCCTTCAATCTGATACGACTTGTAAAATTCATGAAATCGACGGTACCAAAAAGAAAGTTCATCAAAAGAATTATAGCGAAAACATTTATAGAAGAGGCAAAGAGAATCTACGTTATGGCGATGAGTAAGTAAGTGACTGAAGCCGAGATGCCAGGTCAGGGCCGATAAAGTTACAAACCCTTCTTTGGATTCTCTCAAGAACTTCTAAATAGATAGCAGAAGCATAAGGGCATGCGTGATAGCAATATTCAATAGAGGGAGGAATGATAGAATTATAACTCTGGCCAGACTACTTGTTTAGCACGACACAGTAAACCAATTTTCCTAGCTGTTTACTTAGCAATTAATTCAATATAACCATTCTAATTCATGTCACTGAACAACCTGAGATAGAGAAGGCGCAATACATTCACATTAGCCTACATTTCTTAAAAGGCTTAAAAATACTTACTGATTCATTAAAAATAAAACTGTCTTTTTTTTTTGGCGGGGGGTTGTGTGCACGGTAGATAGGCGTATCAAATTAGGCTGAAAGAAAATCAATTGCTTTTTATTTTCAAAACCGAGAAATCTTTAAATATTAAAAACGAATAAGGAAACATAACAGAATTCTTTTTAACAGGAAAAAAATGACTTTTAAATAAATAACTCCCTAATCTGACGCTTGCTTTGGGAAGAATACAGATTTTAAAGAACAAGTCGTTATGCTATTTATCACGAAGTTACTTTCTTCTATGGTAACCTTTTTCCGTTTTCAGGTTGCTGAAAGATATCCAAGTATTGAATAGATGTATATAGGTTATGGGTTCAGCGAAAGCTTTTAAATAAAATAAAAATATCTTTTTATTTGAGCAATCTTTTCACTGTTCGTTTCAAAAATAACTTTTCAATCACGATTTTCAGATTAAACGCTAAATTTCGGATTTAAAAGAAAAAAAAATAATATTCGGTCTTATACTGAAAATAAAATCCCGGCTATAAATATGAAGCCTTTTTTTTTCTGAGACTTTATCTGAGGATGCTTGATTTGCTTGAATGTTCATCCCAATCGAAATAAGACGATGTATCTATTTTCCCATTAAGAAATACGAACTCTTCAATAAAAACAAAATGAAAAAAAAGAAATCTCCAAAGAAGCATTAACACACTATTGGTTGCAAGATTTCAGTTTGAATTACGAATAATAACGTTGGTCAAATCTTTTTGTTTTATGTACCGTGTCCATTCAGAACGTAGACGTTCATGGCCCTTCACTTTGTCCTTTCCCTTGTAGCTTCTAAATAGTTTTCTCTTTTTATTAATTGTCCATGACCCTGTTCTGTCATCGACTTGTTCAAGCCTATTATATCCCGCATTGTTTCCCCCCTGTTCTTCTTTCCTCTATCCGTTCTGTGACTATCAGATTTTACAAGCCCTTCTTCCCCACTACGTGTCGCAGAAACTTCAGCTGTCTCTTCTTAATGTTAAGCATAAGTTTCCGCTTTGTTTCCATTCTCTTCAAATCCTCGTCGTTGCAGATTATATCCTTAGAATCCTTCTGTAGAACCAGATTTCTGTTGCGTTGAGTCTCTTTTTCATCTTTGAGGAGATTTTCCAGAATTTGCTACCATACAGGAGGACAGATATCACGTAACAGCTCAGTGCTCTTGTGTTTGTTTCCAACGAAATTTACCTGTCTCGTCATACATTAATTAGCTTTTGGAATGTTTTCTTTGGCCATCCCAATACATCTTCCCATCTTAGTGGTATCCTTAGAATCCTTCTGTAGAACCGGACTTCTGTTGCTTTGAGTTATTTCTTCATCTTCCAGGAAATTACCCAGAATTTGCTACCATACAGGAGGACAGAAAAGAAAAAATTACTGGGAGCTACGAAGAACAGGAAATTGTGGAGAGCCATCATCACTAACATCCTGACGGGTCACGGCACATAGAAAATTTACAAATATCTATCTATCTAACGTCGTACACTTTGACGTGGTGTAATGGTTACAAAGCCTGTCTCGCTAGATCAGTTATGACTGAATAGTGGGAGTATTTGTATGTTAAATAATAAGACTTTTAATTCCCGCCCCCTAAAATTAATAAAAACTAAATTTATTGTTCTATTCTACGCACCCTAGTAAAACCAACTATACTTTGTACACTCCCCCCTTACCTGTTTGCACTTGCCCCCAAAATCTGGTTTCGAGCAATCAATGTATGGCCATTTTAGAAGGTGTGACGAATGGACTGACTGAATTTTTTAAAATTTATTATTGATTATTTTATTGTTGGTTGTTATCAGTCATCCTTCCTGTTTTTATCTGTGCGTACGTCGTTTATTAATTAGTTTATTGTTTACTTACTTTATTTACTTGTTTATTTGTTTGAATTAACTAATTTTACTTGCTTTTGATCATTTATTTTTCTTAATTTATTTTTAATTTTTCGTTTTCAGTTTTCGAGTTTTAGGTAACGTAGTAAAAATTTGTTTTCGCATTTGCATTTTGTTCGTTTATTTAGTAGTTAGTTTTGATCTGGGAAGTTAATTATAGCAATTTTCTTCCAGGCAGTGTTTACAGTTTTTGGATTGATTGTTATAGGCTATTGTTCTTTTCCATATTTTCCATGATCTTTTTAGTGTGATTTGATTTTTGCCTTACTCAGAAATATATAATTATATTTTATATTTACATACACTCTATCCCTGATATGAGAAAGAAGAAGAAAGAAAAGGAGGTTGAAGAGGGTAGGAGAGAAAAGTAAGCATATCGTAAATGTATAAAAAAATATAAGGGAGAGTGTAGAGTAAATATAAGGGAGAGTGTAGAGTAAATATAAGGGAGCGTGTATAGTAAATATAAGGGAGTGTGTAGAGTAAATATAAGGGAGAGTGTAGAGTAAATATAAGCGAGGGTGTATAGTAAATGTAAGGGAGTGTGTAGAGTAAATATAAGGGAGAGTGTAGAGTAAATATAAGCGAGGGTGTATAGTAAATGTAAGGGAGTGTGTAGAGTAAATATAAGGGAGAGTGTAGAGTAAATATAAGCGAGGGTGTATAGTAAATGTAAGGGAGAGTGTATAGTAAATATAACGAGGAGTGTAGAGAAAATGTAAGAGAGAGTGTATAGTAAAAATAAGGGAGAGTGTATAGTAAATGAAAGGGAGAGTGTATAATAAATACAACGGAGAGTGTATAGTAAATATAAGGGAGAGTGTATAGTAAATGTAAGGGAGAGTGTATAGTAAATATAACGGAGAGTGTAGAGTAAATATAAGGGAGAGTGTATATAATTATAAGGGGGGGTGTATAGTAAATGTAGGGGAGAGTGTATAATAAATATAAGGGAGCGTGTATAGTAAATATAACGGAGAGTTTAGAGTAAATATAAGGGAGAGTGTAGAGTAAGTATAAGCAAGGGTGTATAGTAAATGTAAGGGAGAGTGTATAGTAAGTATAACGAGGAGTGTAGAGTAAATATAAGAGAGAGTGTATAGTAAATATAATGGAGAGTGTATAGTAAATGAAAGGGAGAGTGTATAGTAAATGAAAGGGAGAGTGTATAATAAATACAACGGTGAGTGTATAGTAACTATAACGGAGAGTGTAGAGTAAATATAAGGGAGAGTGTATATAATTATAAGGGAGAGTGTATAGTAAATGTAGGGGAGAGTGTATAATAAATATAACGGAAAGTGTATAGTAAATGTAAAGGAGAGTGTATAGTAACTATGACGGAGAGTGTAGAGTAAATATAAGGGAGAGTGTATATAATTATAAGGGAGAGTTTATATTAAATATAAGGGAGAGTGTATAATAAATATAACGGAGAGTGTAGAGTAAATATAGAGAAGAGTGTATTGTAAATATAAGGGAGCGTGTATAGTAAATATAACGGAGAGTGTAGAGTAAATATAAGGGAGAGTGTAGAGAAAATATAAGAGAGTGTGTATGGTAAAATGAAAGGAAGAATGTATAATAAATACAACGGAGAGTGTATAGTAAATATAACGGAGAGTGTAGAGTAAATATAAGGGAGAGTGTATAGTAAATGTAAAGGAGAGTGTATAGTAAATATGACGGAGAGTGTAGAGTAAATATAAGGGAGAGTGTATAGTAAATGTAAAGGAGAGTGTATAGTAACTATAACGGAGAGTGTAGAGTAAATATAAGGGAGAGTGTATATAGTTATAAGGGAGAGTTTATAGTAAATGTAGGGGAGAGTGTATAATAAATATAACGGAGAGTGTATAGTAAATATAACGAGGGGTGTAGAGTAAATGTAAGGGAGAGTGTATAGTAAACATAAGGGAGAGTGTAGAGTAAATATTAGGGAGAGTGTATAGTAAATATAAGGGAGAGTGTGAAGTGAAGAGTGGGTTTTACGTTACTTTTTTTTTTATCCAGCCTCTTATTCACTCACATACAAATGTTTTGATATAAAGGCAAACATTTAAAATTTTGGATTTCTCGTTTAAAAAGTTTTTGGGATCTGGAAATGTCATAATCACTAATTTCTCATGTTGACATACGTTGTGAATGCGATTATGATTGTTGTATGTTTTTGCTTTTTTTTTAAATTTTCCACCTCATGAACGGATCCCTGTTGTTTTGTTTTTTGTCTTTTAAATTCCACATATGGCTAGCAAGTTTGGCGGAGTACCCAAAATCTGCTAGCCTAGCTTATATATGTATGTATATGTGTATGTTTTTCAGTCTTTTCGTATCTATCTATCTTAAACCAAAGCTGATGTATTAAACAAAAGTCCCCTAAGTCAAAGATGCATATGACTTCATTAAAACCACTCCGCTAATACATATTTGCTTATTAATCTCTCGCAATAAGCATGATTGTTGAGACGTAAATCTTCCCCTATTCCTTCCGTCCTGTGAAGATTTTCCCTTTCTCTCATTCCCCACTTGCCAGGGCAAACAGATTTCTAGAACTTCCTATCATCGAAAATATCTTTCGGGAAGATTTGGCTTCTGGACGGGCCGACGAGGATTTGAATGCGTGAAGCCTAGCGTAGACGGGTGAAACACTAGAATGGTGGCCAATTCATTGTGAAGCCAGTTTCCGGTCGTTCGTCGAACAAAAGAAATGTGGAGTGGAATTTCATTGTTATTTGTTTTTCTTTCCGTTCGGCCTTGCTAATCCGGATAAAATCATGGTGTAAAGAGTAAGACTTCGTTCTGTATTTCCATCCTGCTTAAAGCACACCCGAATACTAATTTTTAATTATAACTTTATTCAAGATCTTGAAGGTGGTTACTAAAAATCAATAGCAACGGTTAAAAATAAAATAACAATCAAATAAAAAATAAAATTATAGTAACGGTCTAAAACATTAGAAACTTATGAAAGCATCTTAAATTTACTTATTAAAGACATTTTTTAACTTTTAATTAATTTTGATTATATATATATATATATATATATATATATATATATATATATATATATAATATAAATGGACAAAGACCGACAATTATTTTAAGACATTTTTATGTTTATACATTCTTTTTTATAGATACGAATATTTGAGTAAATGTTCTGCTTATATAAACAGTATTAAACAACATTTACCGGCCTGAATGTCCGATAAATTTTCACAGAAAATATTCGTCCTCCGACGAAAATTTCTCGGACATTCAGGCCGGTAAATGTTGTTTAATACTGTATATATATATATATATATATATATATATATATATATATATATATATATATATATATATATATAAAAAATTAATTAAAAGTTAAATTATTCATATATAGATTTATATATACATTTTATACATATTTATGTATATATATTAATATTTATATATATTTTATATATATATATATATTATATATATATATATATATATATATATATATATTTATATATATAGTTATATATACATATTTATATATATATTTATATATATTTTATATATGGATAGTTATCTATATATATATATATATATATATATATATATATATATATATATATATATATATATATATATATATATATATATATATATATATATATATATATATATATATATATATATATATATATTTATATTTGGATATTTATATATATATATATATTATATATTTATATATATATATATATATATATATATATATATATATATATATATGCTGGCCACTCGTATTCGAGTATACCTGTCTACTAGAGATGCTAGCCAATCCCAATTGCAGATTCTCGATCAGGTACATGTGTTTTTTTCAAAACCTAACTGCGCCAACCTATGGTATATACTGCAGCTATGCTGAGCAGACCTTATTAACAGTTTCTGCGAGAGAGCGTTTTATCTAGAATGATCAACACTCTGAACAACACCAGTTCACTCAATCCCTCTGTCACGATGACTTGTGACTTTGTACTAGCACAGCTATCGACGGCCCCAAGTGTACCGATTATCCAAGTTCACTCACAACGCTTGGAACAACCCGCGGTATGATTTTCAGGCACTTTCCAAAGATACCGCACGTTGGGACCGTCCTAAATCCTAACCGATAACATCAGGCCTGGACAAATCACACAACTCAGATTCTGTGAGCCACAATGCTCAATGTAATGTAATATGAATCAATTTACATGATATTATATTCCTAAATATGTTACATTAAAACTGATCGAAATTCACAAATCTAAAAATTACAGTTTCCCCGCAATCAGCATTTCGGCCGGTCTAAGAATAATCGTTAAACTTCCCAAAATATATTAACGTCACCGTGAGATGCAATAAATTTGCATATTTGTTTTTATTATAATCAAATATTTCCTTTCAACCAGAGCCGAATGTTTTATTGACTTGAATAACTGATAAAAAATGACAGGCTGCTCCTGATAACACGGGATTACAAATCATCAAAAATGGAGGACAGTTTTGGCAAGGATCAGCTAAGAAGCAGTAAGATATGATGAGAGGTGGTTGATTTCAGTTAAGAGACTTCGATTTCTCCTAATTGGAACCCTCCCACTGGGGAAGAAACTCCGTGTGAGTTTTATTGATAATAGCAGACCTTCCGTTTCCTGACAGAAACGATATGTGCCACTGCGTTAATGTTATAGTTAAGTCATCGCCAGGTTACAAATATGATAATATTGCATTCCTGCACAGGGTGAGACTGCGTATCACACGGCAGGACTGAAATGGTATCTGTTAGCCAAGAAAAAAGCTGGCAATAAACGATATACAATAATAATAAAAAATTAAATGCTCCCAGCTTGAAGATGAAAGTCGACTGTATATTTTAGCGTTTCTTTTGTCTCTTTCTTTCTTTTTTCCTTTTTTTATGCCATCTCTCTCTCTTTTCTTTTCATTCTGGCTTCTTTTTCTTTCTTTTTTTAATTAACCTTTATTTTCTCCCTTTCTTTTTATATTACTTTTTTAAAAAAAAATTCCTAACGTTCTTTGCTTCTCCTTTCTCATTATTTGTTTTTATTGTCTAAATTCTCTGTTTTTTTTTTTTCATTCTTTCTTGTTCACTTCTTCCTTGCTCTCCTTTTCACAGTTTCTGCTCTCCCTTTTCTTCACATGTTCTGGATTTTACTTCCTTTATTTAGCAAGTTTCTTTCTTTCTTTCTTTACGTTTCCTTTCAGCTTTTTCATTCTGTTTTTTTTTTCCCTTCTAGATAAGAAAGGAATGAAGGAGAACAACATTTATTGAATGTCAGTTACAAAATAAAGACGAGTGACACGAAGTAAAATTAACAGTCAAAAGAATAAGATAAAAATGAAGAGAGAAAGAAAGAAACTTAATAAAGAAAGGATATGTAAAGAAAGAAAAAAGAAAGAAAGAAAGAAAGAAAGAAAGAAAGAAAAAAAGAAAAAAGAAAGAAAGAAAGAAAGAAAGAAAGAAAAGATAGGTAATCAAAGAAAGGGAGAAAGAAAGAATGAAATAAACTGAAAGTGAATTTTACTTTCTTTCTTTTATTACCTCCCTTTTTTCTTCCTTTTATTACCTCCCTTTCTTTCTTCCTTTTATTACCTCCCTTTCTTAATTCGTTCCTTTCTTAATTTCTTTCTTCCTTTTTTCATTTACGTTATTCTTTTTGATAGTTACTTTTACCTCCTTTATAAGTTTTTTTTTTTTTTTTTTAATTTTAAACGTCCGTTCAATAAAATGTAGTTCTCCTACATCTCTCTCGACCACGCCTTAAACAAATACAATGAATTATACCCACAGGGACAGACCACACCTTAGGAAGGGCTTTATCTATGTAAAATATGTGTGTCATCATAGATTGTTTCTTTTCGGTTTTGTTTTTTTACAAAAATGCCCACAAGAAAATGTCATGATGTCATTTCCCAATTTAGGCCTCGGATGGAAATGATTATACAACAGAAACCAAATGAAATAATAATAATAATAATAATAATAATAACATGATGATGATGACGATGATGATGAAACTGCCGACCATATTATCTCAGGATGTCCGGAAATGGAAAAAATGAATATACTCACAGACATAAGAAGGTAGCGACATATGTGCACTGGAAGATATACAAGAAGCACGAAATCGAAACCACTGAGAAATGTTTTGCGCACCAACCAGACACAGTTACCCAAAATAAAGATGTAACTATCCTCTGGGACATGCCAATTCAAACTGCCTGGGAAAGAAAAACCAACAGACCTGATATTATCATAAAAGACAGAAAGATCGAAAGTGTATGCTTATTGACATAGCAGTACCATCTGAGAGAAACATCTCCATAAAAATTATCGTGAAATTGTCCGAAATACAAGGAGATAGAGATCGAAATTAACAGGATGTGGGAAATGAAAACTGAAACTGCACCAAATGTAATCCGAGATCGGGACCTCGTGAGAAAAGGAATGGAAAATTTTATTAACAATGTCCCAGGTAACATTAACATACCGGTTGCTCAGAAGATTACTCTACTAGAAACATCACATATATTAAGAAAAGTGCTATCAATTAAATGACAATTTTATAGGGTCTAAGGACCATAGTTTAGACCTGCCTCTACTGTGCAGGAAACATAACATACAGAAATAATAATAATAATAATAATAATAATAATGATCCCCAGAATATCTCATTGAAAACTGCATGTAAGAAATGCAGTGTAATATCAAGATCATGTGTGACCATGAAGTATTGTGGTAGATAAGTTAGTGGTAGATAAAGCATAAAGAACATGCAACATCATAGATACTGCATGCGCCGGACACAATAGAATATCCGTCAAAGGAGATAAAGAGAAAGATTATGATACCTTAAAATGTCTACAAATTGTTATTATTAAGACAAATAAACTATTCATTTTTCATCACCCGCGTCACAATTTGCTTCAAAAAGGGTGCATTTTCATTGCGTTCATACAGCAAACGATGAAATGCGCTCCAAAAGATTCTTTTACCTAAAATCATGTGGTACCCAAACACCATAGTGACTTAGGTACCTAAGCTTCACTAACTGCTCATGGAGGGTGGATTTTAACAAATTTAGTGTTTCCCACATTGTGTCAATCGGGTTATTCTCGATCAATATCATGATTTGATTGTCATCTGTAGTGAAGAGTCTTCTTCATCAATAAGCCTACAATCACTAACTCTAAACTTAGCGAACCAATTCCGTACAGTTCTGTCAGCTAAAGCACCTTCACTGTACACAGCGCATATGTTTTTATTGCTTGTGAGGCATTTTTACCTTTAATATAAAAAATGGCATCAAGTGTCTAAAATGCACCTTACAATCTTCCATTTTTATAGGGATGCAAAATTTGTACGATTTAAGAAATTTTAAACTTTCTTTCTCAAGAGATAGTTTGCATTGTGCTCTAATCGGAAACGTAAGCAAATTATATCTATCGGGAATTTTGAAGTGTTCTAATATTTTGGAACATGACCGACTAAAAATCGGCATGAATTTTCCGGACAGCAACATATTTATTTATTTATTTTTCTTTCTTTCTTTCTTTCTTTTCTTTCTTTCTTTCTTTCTTTCTTTCTTTCTTTATTTATTTATTTATTCTTTATTTATTCTTTCTTTCTTTCTTTCTTTTATATCAGTTAACAATTCTGTATATTATACCTGTCGATAAATTTGAAGTGTTCTAACATATTGGAACATGACCGACTAAAAATCGGCATGAATTTTCCGGACAGCAACATATTTATTTATTTATTTTTCTTTCTTTCTTTCTTTCTTTCTTTTTTTCTTTCTTTCTTTATTTATTTAATTATTTATTTATTTATTTATTCTTTATTTATTCTTTCTTTCTTTCTTTATTTCTTTATTTATTTATTTATTTTTTTTTATTCTTTCTTTCTTTCTTTCTTTTATATCAGTTAACAATTCTGTATATTATACCTGTCGATAAATTTGAAGTGTTCTAACATATTGGAACATGACCGACTAAAAATCGGCACGAACTTTTCGGACAACCCAAACTATTAAAAAGGACAGACATTTTGTGTCGATTTACTTTAATGATTAACTTTTCCAAATTACAAATAATACGTCTCAGACAAGCAGGAAATTACATCAGAAATGGTTCGATGTTCATTTCGAAATAGTGTCGAAACTATCGACTTTCACAAGTCATCATCAGAATAGGCAGAGACAATTGGTAATTTTCGGTGAACTAGTGAGAGTTACTCGTAGGCAAATAGTATTGTAGCTTTAGCAAAGTTTGAGGTGTGTTAATGATGCAGGCTCTTAAGTTATTTCTTTTGGATCAGTGAAGTGAGCGGAAGTCATCGCCATTGTTGTTGGTGCTAAATAGTCATTTTTCTTAGAAATGACTAAATTCGGTTCAGAAAGGTGTCTTAATATCCGATAATTAAGACAGAACCTCACACAATGATGCATCAATAAATTCGGACTCACCAGGCTAATAGTAACAACTGAATTACTGGTATTGACAAAGAGAAGAGTAACGGAATCTTTGCGTTGAAGACATTTGTTATTAAGTTGTCTACATATCTCTATCTATAATTCTCAAAATATGTGTGGGTGCATGTGTGATCGGATGTTGTTGATGCGTTCCCACAATTTTCATCCGATTTCGATGAAATTGTTTTTGTTTTTATAGATAATGCTTCAGTGACGGTTTTGAGTCTAAATTGGCTGGAAAACATTACTAACTTGAAGGTGAAAATCGGAAAAAGCAATTTTTTACACGTTGCGCAAAATTGAAGGCAAAATTTAATGTCTGTAAAAAAAAACTACGATCAATCTAGAGAGTTGAAATCTAACGCAAAATATTATTAGAATTATATAAAAAATATATATTATAAATAAAAATTATCGTTTATTATTATTATGACTGTCCATGGAAGAAGTTTGTTCCTTGCAAAATTGAGAAGGCAAAAACGGTCCTTTTCAAGGCCACCCCGCATTCAAATTGTTAACTCCCCATTTGGGGATGTGCTTCAGTTGCAACCAATTGTTGTTATTAATTTTGATTTTCGGGTGGGCTGACTTTAAACTTAAACTGTTCCAAATAAATGGCAAAAATTCCCAGTAATGAAACACCCGGTCGAAGATGGATTATACTGCTAGTATATATATAAATTGAAATTAAGTGCTTTAAAAAGGAAGAAAAAATATTTTGAAAAATAAATATTTGATGTGTAAATTGAATATTTTTAATCATTATATAATAGACTAATTTATTTGCCTAAATATTCATCACCATATAAAGTGCATTCACAACGGAGGAAATTATATCGAAAAATGCCTATTTGTTGGGTAAAATATATGGCTTTTAATTCATTATATTATAGATTTATTTATAAGATTATATATTCATCATGAAATTAAGTGCATTGAAAATGAAGGAGATTATGTTGAAAAATAAATATTTGTTAGTAAAATATTTTTTTTTCATCATTAGATTATAGATTTATTCATCTGTCTACATACACATCAACAAATTAAGTGCATTGACAATGAAAAAGATTAATTTGAAACATAAAAATTTGTTGTATAGAATAAATGCTTCGTTATTATTATAGATTTATTCATCTGCTTACATATTCATCACCAAATTAGGTGCATTGACAATAAAGAAGTTTATGTTAAAAAATAAATATTCTTTTGTTTAAAATACTTTTTTCAACAACAGATTGTAAAGTATCTATGTAAATATACATTATTAAATTAAGTGCATTGACAATGAAGATTATGTTGAATAATAAATATTTGTTGTGTAAAATAAAAAGCTTTTTTTTCATCTTTATATTATAGATTTATTCATCTCCCTGCATATTCATCACCATATTAAGTGCATTAACAATAAAGAAGATTATGTTGAAAAAGAAATAATTGTGAACAATAAATGCTTTTTTCATTATTATATTATAGATTTATCTGCCTACAGATACATTACTAAATTAAGTGCATGGACAATGAAAGAGATTATGTTGAAAAATAAATATTTATTGTGCAAAATAGATATTTTTTTCATTATAAAATTATAGACTTATCTAGCTGCTTACATATTTATCACCAACTGCATTGACAATGAAAGAGATTATGTTGAAAAATAAATAGGGTTGTGCAAAACAAATGTTTTTCATCGTTAGATTATAGACTTAATGATGTATGTATATTATTAAATAAGACAATTATGGCTCCAATCACGTTAATGGAATTTTCGTACTAATAAAAATAACAATTTTCTTTTATTTGCCATGTACTTTTAAGTTTAGTGTTCTCCACAACTTCCTGCCATTTCCGCTCGAAACAACGATTTTTTTTCTTTTCTATTCTTCGTTTGTCTCCTATCAAGTCATAAAGAAGGTTTTTTCTGTTTTTCTTGCCTCTGTTGGGTAATTGTGTCCAAGAACTTTCAATCGTCTGTTTATTATTGTGCTAGCAGCATGGCCCGGCGTTGCCCGTGCTTGATTCAAAAATCTTACGACTCAACACAGCAATCGCTATCACTTGACTTAAAATATTTTTGCCCTTTCTTTGCCTTTAAAGGAGTGCCCTTTACTGTGCTGATGTTGCTACATGCCTTACTTCTTGTCTATCTCACACTGCGAATTTTTTCTAAGCTCTATACTAAACATTAAATCTGTTACGAAAAAAGAACTAAACAAAATGAACACAAAACGATCAGCTTTAAAAAAGGACTCGTAACTTGAAAAACCTAATGAAAAAAAGAATGTTAACAACAAATACTTTTTCACACTTAACCTAGTTCTGCGGAATCAGAATCAACGTCGAGTTTAAGCAAGCGAATGAGCCAATTGGAGTAAAGTGCCATGAAGATTTAAATTTTTTCCAGTTGTGACGAATGCAGCTATCGTTTATCTTTCTTTTGCATGCTAGTTAATATTCGTGTCAGTCAGCTGTTGGCTCTCACGCTGGCCAATAGAATCTTCCTGCCTATTCGTGGCAGCCAGCTATAGGCTCTCACTCTGTCGAGTAGAAAATGGCCACAAACTACATAAAAACTGCCATAGAAGCATGAAAAAATCGATTATTTCCACTATCGATGGGAGTTGGGAAATGCAAAGTCGGTATTGGACTTCCCGCTAACTTGGAGCATGTGCATGTAAAGTTTGGTGCAAATCCGTCGAAAATTGCCACCGTGCATTCGTTACACACACACACACACACACACACACACACACACACATCCCGCCTTTTATAGATAGAGATGAATATATTTATTTGTATTTCCGATTTTCCTTTTTTTTTTCTTATGTTCCGCCTACGGTATTCTTCTCTAACGCTTTAAATTTCTTCTTGAGCTTCAATTTTCTTTTTCATCTTTCAGGAGATTACCAAATAATCGCTGTCATATAGAATAAATATTACCTTTTCTTTGTTTCTAACAATACTTCCCTTCTCTTTATTATATAGTTAATATATTTTATGCACAGAAATAGTCACCCTCTTACAGCTAGACCAGATACTTCATAACACCACGGTGCCAGATTTTGTCATTTTCAAGATTAGTCACTACTAGTTTCCTTTGTATTCTTCTTTTAAGCAGTCAGATGTCAGTTTAGCTGGAAAGAGATAATGCAGTTATTAATAAGAGTTGAAATTAATGCATGTAAGTTTTCACAGCTCTAGCGTCTTTCCTTCAAGGTAAGCTTATGAACATTGGAGCTCACCTAGAAATAAACAATGCATTTATCAATAAGGAGAGTTGAAATTAACGCATGCAAGATTTCATCGCTCTAGCAT